TCTTTCTTCTTTCAGGCACCGCCTATGCCCTGGGCCGTGTCGGCGGGCCCTGTACCTAGGAGCTTGCAGCCGGTAGGCAGGAAACCAGCCGCCGTGCTGCTGGGACACCGGGGTCTCTGTCTTCCAAGGGGGGGGGGCGGCAGGGTTAAGGAGCCCTGAAGGGCCTCCGCGCGCCCCACGGCATCCCTGGCTAAGTATTTGCTCCTTGAGCAGTCAGGAGGATCCTGCTTCTCCAGCCAGAATTGCCAAGGGACAGCTTCGCCTCTGCGCAACTGCAGGACGGCCGCTGCGGGGTCCAGGACAGCCACGCAGAGATCCGCAGAGCCACCCCCGGGTGCGGGAGCCCTCGCAGCTCCTGGCCTGCACTAGGAGCAGACACTCCATCAGTTCTCCCTGGCTTCAGCCCCGCTTTGGGCCACCGCCCTGGCGCCCCGAAACCCTTGGTCTGCAGGAGCAGAGCCGTCTGCTTCGTCCCTGGGACGGTGGGGTTGGGCAGCCGCTGCGAGCGCCAGCCTCGAGGGAAACCGGCTCGAGCGCCTGCGGCTCTGAGCCAAGAACTCTCAGGCTGTGGTTTCGCAGACGGATTTCCTGTCCTTCGTTTTTCTGCGGGGTGACCAGGACCGCTTTGTGGGTCCTGAGGACAAATCTAAGCCCCAAATGCTAAACATGTTCAAGAAGTTACCCCTTTAATATCAGGTTAAAAAACAAACAAACAAACAAAAACCTCATCAGGGCCAAAGTCAAAAGAACAGACAGTCTCTCTCCTTGTAGCAGCAATTACCTTAATTAACTTTCTTGGCTGTGTGGATCGATGCCCTGGGTGGGGATTAATTTATGGCCTCTTTCGCTGCTGCTGAGCGAGTGTGGGCAGCGAAGGCAGGGGCCCACGCGGTTGCATCCCAGGCAGGCTTCTGTCATTGCCTTAATAGATCCGTTCCATGCCATGGGTTTTTAGTGACTGGTCTCCTCTTCTGGGCTGTTTTTTTTTTTTTTTTCTTGTCTTTTTCAGACAGGGTCTTACTATGCAGTTCAAGCTGGCCTTAAACTCACTGTGTAGCCCAAGCTGCAGCAATCCTCCTGCCTCAGTCGCCCCAGAGCTGGGACTGCGGGCCTGTGCCACCAAGCCCAGCTTCTATTTATGATCTTTTCTGAAAGTGAGCAGGATTTATCAATTAGAAATGAATTTGTAAATAAAATTTTTGGTCAAAATTGGGCAAGTGACAGTGGCAGGGACAGCACTGCAATAGAATGTGATTGACGCATAGTCCTTCTTTCTCGGAGGAAGTGAGAAAAAATGGCCAAAGGTACCCAGGGATTCTTGAAACTTCCATTTCAACAAAGAATTCTATAGTCAAGCCTCTTGGATCGTGCTTACTATGAATTAACAAGGACAGTGGGACAGCTCTCAGTCCTGCCCATTATCAGCTTAAGAGTGGCAAGGGGTCCTGGTCAGACCAGAGGTGCTAACAGCCTTAGCTCTAATCCCTGCTTGGCGCCAGTTAACCAGGTAACAGCAGGCAACCCTACTCTGACCTTAAGTTTTCTCCCTTATGGGGGGATAATTACACTTTTAGTGCCATGCTGAGCCATAGAAGAATGACACATAAGGAGAAAAAAAAAATCAATAAAAATCCCCATTTGAAATTCTGACACTATTCATCCTGAATATTTTGCATAAAATTTAATTTTAAAATCCCACTTACTATATACAAAGAATTGAAAGCAGGGATCTGAATATTCCTGTTCCTAGCAGCGTTATTCCAACAGTCAATAGCTGGAAATAACACGTGTCCGGCCACAGAGGAATTCATACAAGCCAGGTGTGTATATGTATACAGTGTGATACTATTTTCCTTTAGAAAGGAGGGCAGTGCTGACACACGCTACAGGATGATCTTGGGGACGATATGCTAAGTGAGGTAAGCCTGGGACAGAAGGACAACTTCTGTACAGGTCCATCCTAGAGAACGGACACACAGAGACGAGACACGGAGTGCAGGGGCCCGGGTCAGGGGAGGCTGAGTGGTGAGCGCTTCCTGGGTGGGTAGGGGGTTTCAGTTTGGGGAGAATGAGTGGAATTCTGGAGACGGATGGTGGAGATTGGTGCATGCCAAGAGTGTACTTTTCGGGCCGGCCAAATAGCTCGGTGGACTAAAGCGCCTGCTTAGACAGAGCGCAGCAGCCAGGGTTCTATCCCCGGAGTGCGGTGCCAGCCCCAGCCCTGCCCCCGGGGCACGCTGAGAGGGCGACTGAGACTGGGCGTGGTGGCACGTGCCTGTAAGCCCAGCACCTGGGAGGCTGAAAACAGGAGAATCACTACAAGTCGGGTCTGTGTAGTGAGACCCTATAGACTCTGTACCCTGTACTAAACACATAAAAAAAAAAAGTACATTTATCACTACTGAATTGCATGCTAAAAAAGGGCTAAAATGACAGCAGTACCACAACCAAAGCAAGTGCACACTTGAATAGTATTCACTTGGTGACTGAGTTGCTTCCTTGGGCTCGGCTAACTTCTGACGATGCCCAGGAAATGCTGAGTGCTATGGGGAGTGCTAAATTCACTTGAGCCCAAGCAGGAGGCCGGAAGGGATGGGTTTCCCAGTGAGCACAGGCTCTGGACCACACTGAGCCTTGGTTTTGCCTTTCTCAGCTAGGTCCTGCGCGAGCAAGTCTGCCCCTGCTCCTGCTGGAGTCCAGCTTGGCAAGCGGCAGCCGGCAGTCGGAGTGCAGAGGGGCGATCTCCAGGCTTGCTCTGGCTGGTTTGTTCCCTTGTTGATTTTACACACTTGTTCTCTGCAGAGTCAAGGAAACTGGGAGCTACTCCCCCTGCTTTCCCTCCACATCCTGGTTCTGGTGTACTGAAACCTCTCTCAGTGAAGGAAAACAGGGTTCCAAGCTATTCTACTAGGAAGTCACGCAGAAGCTGGGTGCACTGGCACATGCCTATAATCCCAGCACTCTGGGAAGCTGAGCAGGAAGATCCAAAGTTCAACTGCACCTGGCAACTGAGTGATCTAGCAAGACCCTGTCTCAAAAACAAAGAAGGGCTGGGGATGTAGCTTAGTGCAAAGGGTCTAGGTTCAATTCCCTGTACCAAATCAATCAATCAGTCAATCAGTCAGTCAGTCAGTCAGTCAATCAAGGAAGTAAGCAAGCAAGCAATCCAGAAACAGGAAGCCATGTAAACATTTAGAAAGCATAGCACAAAAAAAAAAATTAAAAATTAAAAAGGGGCCGGGGAGATGGCTCAGTGGAATAAGCGTTTCCCTGGCAAGCGCAAGGGCCTGAGTTCAAACCCCAGTTCCGCAAAAAAAAAAAAAAAAAAAAAAATTAGAAAGCATAGCAGTCTGATTCTGCTAACAGTAAAAATAAGAAAAAGACAACAACATTAACCTTCCAAAGGCTTGGGGAGGAAGCCATCTATTGTTCTGCTCAGACCCTGTGGCCGGAGGCCTGGCTGGCCAGTCTGCCTGCATCCTGATGTCCTCCTGGCACTCCTGGTTTGCCCCAGCGCTCCGTGCCTGTATCTCCGATCAGTGCCCTGATGTTGGCTGTGAGGCTGCTGCCAGCGGCCACACTCTGCCAGCTCTCCACAGCACCCCCTCCTGGGCTTCCTGAGGTTCAGATTCTTGGCTCTGCATCCCTTCTCTCCCTTTAAACTTTTTGGGTTTCTGAATCACAAGCCATACTCTCCACTTGGTCCCTCACTCAAAAGCAGGGTGGGTTTTCTGTCCCCCTGAGGTTTCCTCCACACCCGGCCCCACCCCTCCGTGGACCCTGATGCTCACTGCCTTCCTCCCTTCCTTCCACTTAGTCTTGTGCCAAGTTACATGAAGAATGAACAAATGTCTTTTTTCTTTTGTATTGAGGAACTGAACCCCGGGAGCGCCTTTGAACTGAGCTACATGCTCAGACCTTTTCTGTCTTTTATTTTGAGACAGGGTCTCAGTAAGTCACTAAATTGCTCAGGCTCGGCTCCAACTTGTGATCCTCCTGCCTCAGCCCCCAGAGTGCTGGGATCATAGGCCTGGCCACCACGCCCAGCTCCTTTTCTGTCTCTTTTACAAACGGAAACAGCAGGTGTTGAATAAACTGACCCAGAAGCGGGCAGTTCTCTGGAAGGAGAGCGGCAACTAGTTTTCAGAAAGAGCCAGAGAGCAGATTTGGGCTTCGCAGGGCCAGACGCCTCTGCTGCGTCTCCTCGATGCTGCGGTTCTGATGAAGCAGCTTCCTGGTGCCCCCATCGGAGCAGGCCCGGCTCTGAGCCAAGGGAACGTTATCCCTGAACACCAAACCTTGAACTTCATATAATTTTCATGTGCCATGAAGTAAGTTTGATAGTCATAGCATATTCTTTGGATTTTTCAACACCATTACAGACGTCCAAAGCCCCTGTTAGTCGCAGGCCGCGTGGGAGGCAGTGGGCCGACCCGCTTCGTTCCGAGGCTGAAGTTCGCCAGCCGCAGTGCTGGCAGAAATGAGCTGCAAACAGGACTGCGGTGTTCAGGGCCCGGCACATGCGGGCCACTGCCGTCTGCTGGCCATGGCTGACTTGTGTCCAGGTGGTCACAGTGGGGTTTGGGAAGGCAGAGGAGCGCAAATGTTGTCACTCTGCACGGCCCCGTGGGTCTGACTGCTAAGTCCAGCTTCCTGCAGTCCTTTGCAGCAACAATCTGGCCTCAGAAACCAGAGCCCGCGGCTGGGCTGCTTCAGCACTTTGATCCTGGCCCTGGATGCTCCGTGACTAGAAATAGCCCCTCCTATTTTTAACACCCTTGCCTACTCAGAGGGTTTCCAGTTTCACCCCAAACAAGCCCAGGGCCCAGAGATACAAGCTGGAATTGAGAGCCTCTAAACCACGTTGGTTGTCTTCTCTCCACCCTGCACCCCAAAAGTCTTCACTGTCCCTGGGGACAGGGCTTCCCTTCTCCTCCAGGGTCTGGGGCGCCTGGTGCTGCCCGACTCCAAGCAATTGTTATGCAAAGCACAAGAAAAAAGGGGTTTTCCAAAAACTTTTATTTCAAACCACAATTAGATTCTACCCAGTTAAAAATGCTCCTCAGGGCTCCTGGATGCCAAGGAGGGATATTTAGTTCACTGCAAAGGGTGGGTCTTATCACCCAGGCAAGGGACACTGGCTCTCCACACAGGTGACCCCAGACCACATGTTGTCCCTGTAGGGTTTTTAAGGACCGCAGGAGCCAGCAGGGACAACCTTAGCTCTGTAGCAGGGGCCTCTCCAAACACGTGTGCGCCTGCTGGCCCTCCCGCTCAGAACCTGGGCAGGTCTGGCTCGAGTCCACTCTCTGCTAGAGGAGCTCGCTGCAGCCCCCACCGTTGCCCCAGAGAGGAAGCGGCCCACCGTGGCTACAGGCCAGGCAGGTGGACACCTCCTGCCTGCTCTCTAGAAGGTCTGGGCTGGGGCCGAGCTTCCTGAGCTCTAGTGCTCAGGCTCAGCATCCATGCAGGACTCCCAGGGGTTCTGGGGCATTCGAGGCAGCGAGAAGAGCAGGAGGGCGAGGCCCCCGAGGAAGAGCAGGATGAAGGCGGCGCAGGCGCAGGCGAAGGACCAGGAGTAGTAGTACTTGAGCCACACGGTGTCCTCGCTGTCGATCATGCGCTTCACCGACTGCCGCATGACCTCCACGGAGACCAAGATGCACAGCCCTGGGGACAGACCCGGGGCATGCAGGAGCTGACTGTGCCCTGGCTGGGAGCTGAGGGAGGGGTGACTTCCTCCAGACGGCTGGGACCGGGACCGCAGACCCGCTTGCCAGCCCGCCCCATGCAATTCCCTCGTCCCTCGGGAGGCTGGTGGGAGAGGGGCTGCGTTTCCTCCCACCCTCGGTAGCTGCTCTCTGGGCAGTTTCTCTGTGCCTCGAGGACAGCGTCACGGTGCAAAATAGACAGAACTGGCCTGGAGTCACTGAGGACCTGGCCACGTCTGTTTCTGCTCAAGCCCCGAGGTAGAGGTGAGGACGGGGTGCGACCCTGGGCATCGGCTACCTGCAAAGGCGTAGAACATGGATGCCGGCCGCAGCAGGTAATCCCGCTTCTTCCGGAAGGACAGGAGCGCGCAGATGGAGCCCATGATGATGAAGCCAAGGCTGAAGATGGCGATGGCGGCTGCTGAGATGCTGTACTCTGCGAATCAGAGGGCACCTCAGGCCGGGCCCCATCCCCACCAGCCAGCTGTGCCGTTAGCCAGGCCAGTGACATTCCTATTGCACACCTGACTGAGAGTCTCACACTCAGAGCCACACTTGGGGAGAGGGGGTGACTTATCTCACCCACTGGCTGCCCCTGGGGCAGAGGCCGTGGATGGCTCTGTGACCAGAGACTTTTTCTTTTTCTTTTCATTTTTTTTTTAAAAATGTATTTAGGACAGGGTCTCACTACACAGATCAGACTTGTCGTGATTCTCCTGTTTTCAGCCTCCCAAATGCTGGGATTACAGGCGTGCGCCACCACGCCCAGTTTCAGTCCCCATCTCAGTGCAGCCCGGGGGCGGGGCGGGTGCAGCAGGCCAGGGATCGAACCCAGCCACTGCCTCTGCCTAGGCAGGTGCTTTAGTTCACTGCGCTATCTGGCTGGCCCCAGAGACGTTTTCTAGAGCAGAAATCTTCCTGCAAGTGACAGACAGAAGGAGGCACTGTGCTGGGGGAGGTATGACCCAGATTGCCTAGGGGCTTCTAGAAAGAGGGCAGAGTGTGGGTGTTAACTAGCACGTGTGTGAGGGTGTGTGGTGTCACCTAGTGCTGTGTGTGAGATCTGCTGGTGCGTGCGTGTGTGTGTGTGTGTGTGTGTGTGTGTGTCCCTCATGTATGAGGCTCTTTCTGTGGTGTGGCTTCATGGGTTGTGGTCCCATGTGTGAGGCTCTGGCGATGTGTGTGCGTACGCTTGCGCCTGTCCGTGTGGGCAATGTACACTATGTGCAGCCACCCACGCTTGTGCAGGCCTGGTCTGGACACTGAGGTGTGTGTGCCTCTGAGCTCCGTGACGTAAAGGGGCCCGAAGGTTGCTCCCGCCTCCCAGGGGATGATTTATACCTGAGGGGCCTGACTGTTCCCTGCATGTGTGGACCTGGTCTCAACTCCCAGAACCTTCTCCAAGCTGTGAGCACTTGTTCTACTTTCGTTCCTTTTCTTTCTTTCTTCTTTCTTTCTTTCTTTCTTTCTTTCTTTCTTTCTTTCTTTCTTTCTTTCTTTTATTTTTTTTGGCGGAACCAGGGATTGAACTCAGACCCTTGTGCTTGCCAGGGAAGCGCTTATTTTACTGAGCCATCTCCCCAGCCCTTGCTCTGTTTTCTTAGCTCCTGAGACAGCAGCCTTCCCTTGGGTTCTGCTGGGAAACACGTTCCTGCAGAAACTCAGAGCTACCCAGAAATGTCCCGTGAGCTGTCCTCAGAGCTGGTGAATATGCTGGGTGCCTGAAGCGGGTACCGCCACTTGGGGGCCCCAGACGGGGAGGTGGCAGGCTGCTGGGGGAACCAGGCCAGGGATGCTTTTCACCAGGAGCGAGGAAGTCAGTCAATGACTGCCTGGCTCTGGTGTACAACAGAAGTCGCCTCCCGCCTCCCGCCCCCTTGTCTGCTGCAGGCTCACCCTTCTGAGTGGTGAATTCGAAGATCTCCGAGCTCTCGCCTGGGTTGAAATGTCTGAAGTAGGAACAGTTCTTCTCTGCAAAGGCGGGAGATGGGCTATGAGTGGAGAGAAGGGACCAGAAGCCAGGACAGAGGCACAAGGAGAGTACGACACCACCCCGCTGGCCACAGAGGAGAGAGCAGGCTCGCTGGTCCTCATCCCCCACACCCTGACTGTGGGCCAAAACACTTCTCTGACCCTCTGAGCAACATTTCAGCAGCATAATGGGGTTGCATAAGAAGCTGGGGGGTCCTCAGGGAGCAGTGACTGCAGGAACTGGTTGACAGGGCAGATGGCGTGTGACCCAGGCAGATAGGGTAACCGAGGCGCAGGCTCCCATCATTGTCAGAAATGCAGCAGAGAACTGGACGGCCAGGCTGGTGCCTCTCTCAGGGGATGCTGGACAATGCCTGGAAACATTTTAGTACAGGGAGGGGTAGGTAGAAGCCAGGGCTGCTACTAAATACCCTATGGGTGCCCACACCACCCCTTGCCACAGTGTAGAATCATCCAGTCCAAGATGTCAGTGAGGTCAAGGCCAGAAGCTTGGGACCAACCCAAAGTCCAGGGCTGTGTTTCTCCCGGAGTCCCAGGGAGTTCGGGAAAGCAGCATTTTTGGAAAGGTTTTCGGGAGATTCCGATGCTCTGCCAGGTTGAGAACCCTGCTGTGGGCCTCGTCAAATGCCTCACCAGCCCTCCCATGAGCGCCTGCCTGGTGGCCGCACATGCAAGTAAAGCACTTCCGTGGGAGGGCTGAGCTCCGTCTTTCATCAGACGCCTTGGGACCATACCTGCGTGCAGTCCCAGCAGGACCTTCCACGCCCCTGAGCTTCCTGGTCCACCTGCTCATAGTCACAGTCACAAAAGCGGTTGAGGATCTGTGGACCGTGGGACCCCGAGTCTGGATTTGATGGTGAGACCAGAGAGGGGGCTGGCACCAAGAAAATCATTCTAATTTTAAATATAATTCATTGTCATTTTCCCCTGTAGTCTCTGTCTCAAAATTAGGCTTACCATGGCATGGAAATACAGTCTTATTGCTTGTTGAAATCGTTCAGTATTCTTCAGTACTGATTCAGGAAGTTGCTGAATGGATTATTTTATATTGTTTCATTTCTTTTAAAAAACTACAGAGGCTGGGGAGATGGTTCAGTAAAATAAGCTCTTGCCTGCAAGCGCAAGGGTCTGAGTTTAATCCCTGGGTTTGGCAAAAACCAAAAACACAAAACTACAAGGGCTGGCCAAATAGCCAGTGGATTAAAGCACCTGCTGAGGCAGATGCAGGGCCTCAGGGGTTTGATCCTCAGGCCTGCTGTGCTGGCCCTGCTGCTGGGGTGCACTGAGACGGTGATTGGGACTGGGTGTGGTGGTGCATGCCTGTAATCCGAGCACTTGGGAGGCTGTAAGCAAGAGGATCACTATGAGTCCAATCTACATAGTGAGACCCTGTGCTAAATAAAATAAAACTACATCAGGTTGCTCTTTATTTATGTAAGACCCTTCATTGATTTCTTTTAGAAAAACGTCTCTGCCTTTGGTTTAAATGGCACTGAGTTTGGAATTCATGGCTTCACCTCCAGGCCACATGGACACAATCAGAAGAAGGCGGACGCCCCACTGCTTCTGGGAATGTACCGCAGGGGCTTCCGGAGTCAGTGCTTCCCTTGGGACGGAAGCTGCCTGCTGCCTGGCTACCTCATCTGATTGCCGCTTACCCTGCGTTTCCTCCCCTTTCCTGTCCCGAGCTTCAGGAAGGTGACGGGGCTGGAGACGGTACCCGGGTGGCCGTGGGACATGTTCTGGGCAGCCCAGAGCCTCCCCTGTGAACATCTATATTTAAATCGTTTCCTTCTCAGCGGAGTTAGCTGGAGTGCCTGGCGGCTGGCGGAGCGGGCAGAATCAATCCTGCGCTTTGCTGTCTCAAAGCACCCACTGCTGTTACAGTGTAGTGCGAACCCCTCTGATTTGTTAGATTATCAGCCGTAGATTCCCCTGAGACTGCCTCAGACAGCTCGCCCGGTGTGGTAAGCCTCCCAGGGTCTCCCTCTGGACAAAGGAACATCTTTGTTTCATTCTTTAAGGGCCAATTTCAGTTGTCACTGAAAATCCTCTGGCAGGAATTGAGTGAATTCAAGTGTATTTCACGGCTGGCCGCCTCGTTGACTCCTTGCTATCGGGGAGTTAAAAGCCTTCCGAGCTGGGGGCTGTGGGTCCAGGCTGCCTGGAGAGCTCGCCCAGGCGCAGCTGCTTGGCCTCCTGGGCTGCGGAGAGGCCTCTGGAGTCGGCCCTGCTGGGAGAACCAGGATCCAGTTGGGCGACACTGCTGGGTGTCCTCAGGGGTCCAGGCACATTGTTTCTGTCCATTTGTCCCTCTGTGAAATACGCTGAAATGGGCAAGAGGGGACAGCAACACCCAGTGGATAAGATTCCTTCTCAAGGCTCTGGAAATCCATTTCAGATGTGGTGGCGGCTGAGGGTGGCGGCTGGTCTGAGGGTGGCGGCTGGTCTCACCCTCCCTTTCTTCCTCGTTTCCTCTCCCATTCTGATTTTTGAGATAGAGTCTCACCATGCACTCCAGGTAAGACTTGAACTCACTGTACAGCCTGGGCTGGCCTTGAATTTGGGGTCCTCCTGCCTCAGCCTCCTGAGTGCTAGAATTGCAGGCAGGCGCCACGACACCCAGCCCTGTCTTCTCTCCCACACGTGAGCAGAACCAGAGTCCTCTGCCCTGAGCCTGGGAGGGGCAGACCACAGGGCCCTAATGGACGCTAAAGGAAGAGTGGGCATGCAGACTCAGACCTCAGTCAGGAGAGACCCAAGCTGGCAGCTGCCAGTGTCATTCGAATGAGCCATGGGGTCCTGTCATGTGGGCACGCCTCCTGGTGGCCTAGCTGTCCCCACCCTGGCTTCTTTGTCTGGGTAGGTGATTGTGGAGAAGGACAGGGATGGGTGGCTGGCCCTACAAATTCCCCACCTTCTTGTCCTGCCCCTGACACTCCACCTGCCCCTGTCACCCCTGCAGGCGCCTCAAGGCTGTAGCCCCACCTCAACAGGCTCCAGCTCCCAAGTGGGCAGAGATCCCAACTGCAGTGGCCTGGCTGGAGTCACGGCATCCCTGAGGCTGCTGCAGTCAGCTTTGTACCTGCACGTGGCTTGTTGTCATCTTAATTTTAATTTTATTTTATTTTTTGTATTTCAGGGAAGGGTCTATAGGGTGTTCAGGGTCTCAGGCAGACTCATAGTGATCCGCCTGTTTACAGCCTCCCAAGAGCTGGGATTACAGGCATGCACCACCATGCCCAGTCTCCATCGCCTTTTCAGTGCGCCCCGGGGCAGGGGCCGGCACAGCAGGTGCTGGGATCGAACTCCTGGCCCCTGCGCCTGCTTGCAGGATTTCACTGAGCTAGATTTCAATATTTCTGTCTCTGTAAGACTTCTTGGTCTAAAATGTGAAGTGGGTTGATCCTTAGAAAACCGGGTGATCCGCTCTGGGCTTGGCTGGCCTCATAGAGGTCTGGCAGACCGCATGTCCTGGGTCCGGAGGCGCTGGGCACGCAGAGTCGTATCTGGAGTGCTGATGCCAAGGAACCAGAACAGCGGGCCTTTGGTGACCTGGGGTGGACAGCAGACGGGTCTGCGAGACTGCAGAGAATGTACTGGGGAGCAAGCGCCTGGATGTATTAAAAAATAATTTGAGGGCCAGCCAAATAGCTCAGCAGACTAAAGCACCTGCTTTGGCAGAGTGCAGCAGCCGGGGTTTGATACTAGGCATGCCGTGCTGCCCCGCCCCCGGGGCACGCTGAGCCTGGGCGTGTGGTGCGCCTGTAATCCCAGCACTTGGGAGGCTGAAAACAGGAGAAGCACTACTGCTAGGAGTCTGATCAATGTAGCAAGACCCTGTACACCCTGTAGACCCTGCCCTAAATTAAAATATATATAT